CTTATCTGATTCGTGAGTTCCACAGGAAGTTCCCGGACAAACCGGGAGGTCTCCCGCCCTGCCCGGGAGACGGTGTTTAAGGTGTATTTTTGAGGGGGCAGTATGTCAGCAAGCTGCCATGGTGTTCCGTGTTACTTGTATCTTTGTACAGTTGCTCACCCCTCCCCCTGCCTGTTAGCCTGTATTTTATTCTGCTGTAATGCTTAAGCCAAACAACTGGAGGATGTATTGGGGGAGTTCGCTTCACTGCCAGCTTGTTGCTTTTAGAGCCTGGGAACTGCACCTGTGTTATGTCTGAAGATAACCTGGTTCTCAGGGAATGAGCGCGAACCCGTTTTCGTTCACCCGCCAGCGGGAAAGTGACCCATTGGTTCTGTACTTGTTTCAAATCCCTTTATTATGCTTGCCCTAACCGTTTGTAGTCAGTTCTAACAAAGAACGTGTTTGAGTATCTTCCAATGCTTTGAAATAAAATCTTGCTTTTTAAAACGTGGATTTATTCTCGATGCTTGGGATCCCAACACCTTCCAGGGAACAGTCGGGGTTGATTTCTTTTAGGATTGACTGAGGGACTCCAAGGGACTCCTCCAAGAGTCTCCTCCAGCACCATAATTCGAAAGCATCTATTCTTCGGTGCTTGGCCTTCCTTATGGTCCAACTCTCGTAGCCATACATTACTACTGGGAATACCACTGCTTTGACCATACGGACTTTAAACTACTAAGACAAATCCATGATGCCTCCATACTGAAAAGCAGTATACCAGATTACCAGATGCTATGGAGGGCAAACCGGAGCAAGCAAGCATCTCTGAGGTGGGGGTCCTCTGGCTGGGTATTCTTCGGGACAGTGCCGATATGGCAGGCGGTTGTTATGTTCTGCTAAAACTGCCCTCAGCAGCCATTTCCAAGCTTTCTACATGCAGTGTTGGGGTTGGTCTGTCTTCTAAGGAACTCTTGCTCTTCCACTGTGGAACCCCAGAGCACTGGAAATGGTTCTGCGGCCAGTTCTAGGTTGCACACTCAGTTTCCTGAGGGTTCTGCCCAGGCTTGTGAAGTCTCACTGTTAACACAGCTGAAGAAAAAAACCACACTTTAAAACACACCCCTCTGTAGCACGGGAGGGGAGTCTGCCCATCAGATCAGATCTCAGGGCTGCTCCCCCGTTTTCCCTCCACCTTGCAGGTGTATCGACATGGGCACCCGCCTTTCGGTAGGCACCAAAAGGCAAGAACCAGCAGGCTCTTGGCTTTCATCCCTGAGTGAGCCACCCCACTGGATTTCTGGTGCTTCTTTGTAAACAGCTTTCAGTCCCGTGTGTGTGTGTGGGGGGGACAGAATACAGTTAGGGCTCTGGTGCCCTACGGCAAAGCGCATCATTGCTCCCAGCCCTTTTGTGCAGAGGCATTATTTCGAAACCATGCCCATATTTCACTGGCTACCCAACTGGCTTCCTCCCCACGGTTTCCTTTTTCTGATACCTGCTTTTTGACTGCCTGTGTGTTTGTGCGCATTAAGTGCCTTCAAGGGGTCACCCCATGACATAACGGCCTCCCAAACCCTCGTGTCACCAACAACCTTGTGCTCAGGTCTTGCAGACTTGGCTTCCTTGATGGAGTCGATCCATCTCATGTTGGGTCTTCCTCTTTTCCCACTGCCTTCAACTGTTCCTGGCATTGTTGTCTTTTCCACTTTCTCATAATGTGACTAAAGTATGACAGCCTCAGTTTAACCATTTTAGCTTTTAGGGAGAGTTCAGGCTTGCTTTGATCTAGAAACCCGCTGATTTTGTCTTTTTTGGCAGTCCATTATATCCGTGAAACTCTCCTCTAACCCCACAATTCAAAGGAATCAACTTTCTTCACTGTCCAGCTTTCACGCCTGTACAGAGTAAGGGGGAATACTGTGGCATGAATTAGCTTGATCTTGGTCGCCAGCCACCCATCCTTGCGCTTCAGGATCTTCTCTAGCTCCTTCCTGGCCGCCCTTCCCAGTCTCCGTCTCCTCCTGATTCCTTGGCTGCAGCCTCCCTTTTGGTTGATGATGGAGCCAAGGAGCAGACATTTATGTATTTACTTCCATACACAGACTTACTTCATTTATCCCACCTTTCTCCCTAACGGGGAGCCAAAGTGGCTGACGTCAGTCTCCTTGCCTCCATTTTGCAACCCTGTGAGGTAAATTAGCCTGAGAGCAGAGTGTGTGTGGCTGGCCCAAGGTCACCCAGGGAGCTTCTGCGGCAGAGGGAGGATTCGAACCCAAGTCTCCCAGTTCCTGGTCAGACACTCTAATTTGTAAATCACCTTGACTTTAAACTCTGTCCGGAGGATGCCAAAATTATAAAAAGCAACAGTGGTGCAGCCTGCTTCGCTACATAATTTTACGTTGGCATGAAGAGGAAGCAACAGTCTATAGATATACTAATGTAACAAAATATTGACACTAAATATTGACACTCAATGCAACCCTTTTGCGAGGCAGTTGTGTGGTGCCTCATGCGGCCCCAGTCGGCTCCTGGAGGCCTGACCTGAATCTGAAATGGGGGCCCACGGGCCTGGGTCGCCAGGAACTGCCCTGTCACGGTGGGGCCTGGAGACTTCCTGGAATCACAAATGGTCTCCAGATGACAGAGATCCCTTCCCCTGGATAAAACGGCTGCCTTGGAAGGTAGACTCTCCATGGAACTGTTCCCCACTGAGAGGTCCCTCTGCCCCCCCCCCCCGGCGCCACCTCCAAAACTCCACGGATATCTCACCCTGGGCAGGCCCCTAGCCAGGGTTTTTTTGTTTGGAGGGTGGTCACGATGGCATCATACCCTGCTGAGGCCCCTTCCTTTCCCAAGCCCCACCCTCCCCAGGCTCTGCCCCCCCAAATCTCCTGGCAACACTAGGAGGCACCTACCAGTGAGGTAGGTCAGGCTGAGGGGGAGTGAGCGCCCCACGGTCACCTCAGGGCCTCACGGCAGCAGGCAGCGATCTGAACCTGGCTCTCCCCGGTCCCACCACCCCACTAGCTCTCCTCATACCTTTGTGAGTCTCCTCTACAACGCCTGGAAGAGCTGATCCCCCTCCCAAAATTTAGAGTCATTTGGGGGTGTTCCAAATGGGAGCCGGTCAGACTGATGCAAATCAACAGGGGGATACACGCCTGGCTGCCCTGCGGCCCTCCCCCTCCAAGGATGGTGAAAGTACGCAACAGGTCAGCACAACTTGCCCCCTTCTAAGGGGTGTTGGTTGGCTCCACTGAAAATTCTCCTCTCCCCCTAACAGAGGCTGCTTCAAGCAAACAAAAGAGGGACACACACACACACACACCCTACAACTGTGCCTGTCTGTCTGCCCAGCCTACTTGCTGCTGGAATGCGAGGCATCCTTAGGAGCCAGAATGCGTGTCCTGACTTTCTTCCATGTTCAGAGATATTTCCCCCCCTCCCCTCCCCTAGTAATCAGGATGAGCTGGGCAATGTGCATAATAAATTTCAGCTTTCTATGTGCCGGGGGAAGCTCCGTGGCAATTTTAACACCCTCATTAGAGAGTGAGTCAGCGAAGCCGAGGTATTGTTTAAATATACACACAGAGCAAGATAGAAAGATAGTGACTTTGATTCCTGCCCTTTGCTGCGCCTTCTTTCATTCTCTCGTGCCCAGTTTCTACAATGGCCAATGGAGCTAGCGGAAAAGATCAGGGGGCGTAGCCCCTTGGCCTTAGCAAGTGATCTTCCAGCTTTGAAGACCTTTCAAGGTCCTACTACTTCTTCAGGGGGCTTCTTTCCATTGCTAGTCTCGAATGGGCCAGAAGGTACACAGTTCTCCCAGCACCCACTTCTCTCACCAAAGAAGTGTCACAATTGGAGAAGCTACAGACAAAGTCTGAGTCCAGTGGCCCCTTTATGACCAACAAAGTTTAATTCTGTGTATACGCTTTCATGTGCATGCACACAGAAGCGTATACCCAGAATTAAACTTTGTTGGTCTTAAGGGTGCCACTGGTTTCTAACTTTGTTCAGTTGCTTCAGACCAGCATGGCTGCCCACCTGAATCCATCCTATTGGAGAAGCTATAAAATGAAGGGGGGGGGGGGAATCTCCCTTCTGAATTAGGGTCTGAACCAGGCAGCCCTATTCATGGACAAAATAATACGTTCTTCCAAATGATATGTTGTTCTTATGAATGTTGAAATGTGTTCATCCGTGACTGTCTAACCATGTCTGGTGTGTGTCATCTTTTAAATCTTTTTCGAATGTTTGACTTCCAGGATTGGAATGTATCTTCGTTTTTTAACATATCTGTATTTAACATTTCTTGTCTGGACACCTTATTCCGAGCATTAGGAAAACAGAGATGTTCCCGTACAAAAACATTAGATCCATCTGATTCCCCCCCCCCCCCCCCTCAGTGTGCCATCACATCCGATTCAAACAATATTTTCGGGGAGCAAACGATACTCTCTGGTTCACCCTGAGCATCGTCTACTGACCCGCTTCTTTTCTTCCCTTTTTCCCTGGCAGGATTCCTACTCTTCTAGCAAGAAAAGGCAGCAGGGCCACAAGGAGGAGACTGCACCTGTTGCACTGCTGCCTGGGATGCAGCGGCTAAGGGCCGTCTCCACCCTCCCCCGGCGAAGTCAGGGCAATGCCACCCCCCACCCAATAGTTCTCATTCTCTCCTCCATCTCTCTCTCTCTCTCTCTGCTTAGTTATTGGGACTCTTTTTTTAAGTCCACCTCTGGCTCCCCGCGCGCCCCTCCCCTCTCCTCCCCCCCCCCCCCCGCACAAAAAAGGGTTCTCCAATTTCC